TTAATTAAACTCCTGTAGGAGGAAGAGGGTCCCAGGAGGTTTACTATGTAGTGACTGTGTAGTTCAATGCCATCAATGTATTTTCTGGAATAAATATGGGCTTCCAGATACTTACTCATGTAGGGTTAATTTATAGGACTTTATACATGTTCAAAGCACTCTTGGCTTGCTACTCACAGAGGTGAACCCCTTCAGCTGACTAAAAGTCAGTTGTGATTCAGGTTAATGATGCTATTCAAAACCAAACATTAGTATCAGTAGGGAATTCTGAAACAGCAAATAAAAAAAAGCAAAACAAAAAAAAAAAACAAATTGTCTCTTCTAGGCAGATATGTGATGGCTGATCTTCCCAGATCACCCTTTCTCTAAGAATTGTCTCAAGCTTACTGTAGCATTCTGGGTAAAACAGAGGGATGTGAAAGTCTTCTGGAGTGGGAAAATAATGTTATATTTAGAGAAATTCCCTTTATCATAACCTGTGTTGTCCTTAGACAGATCCTTAATCCTCCTTCTGAATCTTATTGTTTCTTTGAATCTAGCGAACTGCTTTAAAGCTTTCCTCACAAATAGAGAGACTATTTTGTCCTAATGCCTAGATTATACAGAGGTATTCTAGAGCTTTTTATTCCCAAATTCAGCAAGATTCTAAATGATTTCAAAATAATACAAATAACATTTCTGTCCTATTGACTTCAAATGACAGTAAGCTAATTTATGAATCAAATGCATATGTTCATATGCTTTCTTGACTAAACCTTTGAACAGTTTTCCAAATCACTAATATGTTTGTAAATACAGTATTGGTTTTCAATGTTTGTACCTTGTTTTCAAATGAATAGTCATTTTCTATAAACCCTGCATCTTAATGTAGTTGAGTACAATAGGAGTTTTATGTGGTTCAAAACTGCAGAAATTACATTTAGCATTAGAGAGGTTGGTTCAGCTACCATTCATGCTGTGTTGGAGAAGTTGAATAGTGTCATGGCATCCTCAGTTTACTTCTAAGGAATAAAGAGATTTTATCACTTTCACATGGCTATCACTCCATTGAAATTGTCGTTTTCACTTTAAGAATGAAACAACTCTATAATTTAACATAGCTTTAAGCAAGAGTAGAGAACAGAATGTAGAGAGCAATCCTCAGTATATTTTGGATTAAGCTTTACTTAAATTTTGGAACTTTGATATACTAATTAAAACAAGTAGCATCTTAATGCTGTTCTTAATCTGTTTTGTATCTTAAAAAATGCAAATGAAAGAAAAGTGTCCAATGATCTTATGTCTTTGTCTGCTGCAATGTTAGTCACCTACGTTGGGGTATACATTTGTAGAATGGCAATAGTAGGAAAAACTTGATCTGAAATTCTCATTGCTAAATATCTTCAGAAATTATGCAGCTCCTTCAGTATTAGATTGATTTTGTTGTTCAGAAATGTTGTCTTTCAAAATCTGTTCTGTTCAAATCAGAAAAAATGTAAATGGTACCATCCACAGAGATCAGAGCAGCTGTTAATTTTTTAGAACATGGCTTTTAAGTGAGTCTTTTCAATCAAGAATCCTTCCATTTTTATTGATAATTTCCTACACTGGAGATAGCAAGCTATTGTTGCTTGGACAAAGCTACAGTTTTCCCAGTGTTTTGGCTTATTTATCCTACAGTTTCATATTCTGTATAAACTCTTTACATCCAAAAACTATTTTAAAATTTTTATTGCTTTCTGCAACCAGCAATGGGACTCAAAGGGAATACTAAGCCAGATGAATCCCTATTCTTGTAATTCAAGAGCATATGACATATGATACCCTTCCAATCATATTTCATGGGTGAAGCAACACATTTTTACCATCTTCTCTTACTCAGACATCATTTATTTGTTCACCACACTCAGTGGTGTGTTGCACATGTAGTTGCATGTCTAGCACTTTGGGTAAGATTCATCTTACTGTCCTTGATGTCTAATATAAAGGCATTTAATTTTGAGCTAGTTGCCTGTCTTCTCTTTTTAGTCAACAGGTAAAAAAGACCTTTTTGCAGTTGTGATTCAGCTCTTCCAAAGCCAATTAAAATAGGCTAGATGAAAGTCCTCCTTGTTCATTAACTGTCATTGCTTGAAAATATATATACATCAATTTTCACTTAATTCTAAAGTCTCTGTGAAATCTACTGAAATAATAAGAGTTGAGGAATTAGAGTAAAAAAATAAATTAAATTGTTATAAGAAAACCATAAAAGATGTCTTTTGCTTATTTTGTAGTATTTGCTTCTAAAATTTGTATAATATAACACATGAAAGATAACTGTTCATAGAGATCACAATACATTGCATTTTTCTTCTGTATTGATTACCATTTAGAAATGCTAATAAGTAAATGTATTGCTTGTGTTAATAGCAGCCACATAATTCAAATACACTTTAATGAGCCTTATCTCCTGGTAGCACACACTTTATTGCTTATTTATAGTTTTCATTCTTGAAGGTGTCAGTATTCAAGATGAAAACAAAAATGGAAGTCTTGCTTCATTTCTGTGAATATTTGTGATTGCCATTCTCTGACAATAGTGTTATTTAAATTACCACTATTAGTCCATATGTATTAAAAAATGCTGTTCCTAAAATAAATTGTCATTTTATCATTTGATAATTAACCCTAATGTAGCCAATCCTCTTAATGTTTAAAAATCCAAATGAAGGAAATGGAAGTTTTACCACTGAATTCAACAAGATTTGGATGAGACTTTCTATGTATTTTGTTGTGGTGTTTTTTTCTGAAATGAGTAACATTTGAGTGTAAGAATTTATATTTTTTTCAGGCCAAGTCAAGCTACTCAACCTTGTTTCCCCAAAAAAATAAGTCATCATAATGATAAGTGCTTTATTTCATTATTTGTGATAGCGAGACATTTTTCATTGCTTCTTTATTTTCCCAAATTAATTAGGAAATCAAAATAGCCTTTATTAAATGACAGCATATGTCTCTAATCACCAGAGATCATTTAATGTGATGTGCTGAGTGGAATTCTTGTTTTATTTTAATTTTGTTTTATATATAGGATTAATTTCAAAATCCAGTTTCATCAAGGAAAACTATGTAGGTAAAAAAATGCATTTGTGCATGTCATTGCACATGTATTTCTTTGTGTAATTCCATTTACTATTATTATTATAGGATCATAAAATCATAGATTGATACATATTATAGTATCATAAAATCATGGATTGATACAGGTTGGAAAGGAACTCTGGAGGTCATGTGGCTGAATACTCACACATAATGTCCTAATTTATTTATATACTCCACTTTTTTATTCATCATTGTTGCCTTTCTAAGGGATATTATAATTACTTAGCAAGTACATTCTCCAAACAATCTCAGAGCCAATGAGAAATTGTCTTTTTCTTTTCTGGCACTAAGTCCACCTGCTGCAGCAAGCGAATGGCTTGTCAGATGGATCTGCATGATTTTCCATCAACCCACCAACTTTAAAATGTCAGCCTTTGTAACAGATTTTCCTCAGCTCTGTTGGGAAATTTCAACTCCCACGAGGTTTGAAAATTTACATAAACAAATTCTCCTACTCTTACATTTCTTCTTTGCTCCTAGTTTACAAACAAGACCAATAGGTATCAGTTATTTAACTGCTGATGTTCCTTTATTCATGACCCAGTCATCTGAGCTGATGAGAAAGGAAGACAGTCAACCTTTTTAACAAGGCAGTTTTAGAATGCTATAACATTAAAAGACAAGTAGAAATAGTAGCAGTAAGGTAAAGTAACTACTCCTTATCCAGAAAAAGAGCATAGCAGCAGAAATGATGATCTGAAAACTGTTTAAGAAGGCTTTGTATTTCAATTTTCTTATTATCTCATCTTCTTTGACAAAATAACTGGGCACCAGCTGAGGAATTCTTAGTGGACAGGTAGGCAAATCAAAATTAACATTCAAATTGGACCATCCTTGGATGCTTAAGTAAAAAGAATAAAGATAAAATAGCTGTGAAGACAGAATTATCTTTATATGCTCTGAGATCCCTAAAGGACAAGGTTAAAGCTCATTCACAGGCTGATGTGAAGATGTTCTTATACTTTGGTCAGTTTCCAGGACCAATAACTTTAGATACCTAATCAGTATAAAATTCACTAGAGCAAGTTACAAAGAGCAGCTTCACTCTCATTCATGCAGAAACCCTCTTTAAAGACCTCAGTCTAAATAGGTTTGAATGTAATTTATGTGCACTACAAGGCTCTCCACAGTGCCAAGGTAGTGTGAGAAGCCCTTTGTGAAAAAGAAGCATGAGCCCATGGTGCCTTAGAGTTACAGGACATATCCATGTGGATTCCTCTTTTAAATATGTGCGTATGTGTGTGTGTGTTTATTACCCTGCACGTTCTGAGTTTAGTCAATGTCTAGTCTTATATGATGAGAAATTAGGGAGTAATTACTTGGCTTGGTAATGAAACCATGTGGTCTCCAGAGGTACTCCATACATTAACTTCCTTCTTTTTCTTAGAATGTCTTATTCTAACATTCACACTGAGATTTTTGTCATGCTGCCTCTATAGGTTGCTAGGCAGCAAAGCTAACCCCCAAACTGTTAGCTCTATTCTTCATGCTGAGACTCTTTCATATATCCTCAGCGGTTTGAATCTTCTTGCTGAGGGGTTTTCTTCATTGAGAGCAACTGTTTCCAAAGGTCACTGGCTCTCTATGGATCAGCACTTTTCTCTGATGTGCACAAATTTTCTCATTTTATACTTCAAGAAACCCTGCAGCACTTGAACCATGGTCCCAATTGCAACAAGCCTTGTGCAAATGTCCCCTACTGTATGCTGCATGGTGCCAATTGCTTTGTATAATAATGTTTATATGGGAAGTGATCTTAAAAAGGTATAAGGACAAAAATATTTGTATGTTTCCAGGCTAAAGAAAAAGCCAGTTGAAGACATTAAAACTGCTATTTTTTCCTTTTTTTTTTTTTTTTTTTTTTTTTTTTTTTTTAGGACAGGTTCTGGATGTGCTGGAAAAATATAACCTGACTGATAAAACTCTTGTATATTTTACATCTGATCAAGGGGCTCATGTTGAAGAAATCTCCAGTTCTGGAGAAGTCCATGGAGGATACAATGGCATATATAAAGGTGAACATTCTCTGATGATTCTTGAAAATTGCATCAGAAACTATAATCTCATTGGTTTTGCTCCAAAACTGTAATGTATTCTGTGGCCAAGGTCAAAACATGATTCCTTAGTAGTAAACTTCTCATGACTGTCATTATAAATTCAAATGTAAGCAGTAAATATAATGGATTTACTTGTCAAATACAGCAGCTCAATGACAGTACATGCTCCTCTGTAGAGTTTTAACATGAGCAAATATACTCTTGAACTGGGCAGAGATACAGTTTTGGAAGGATGTCTGTTCCTAGTTCTTTAATGGCTAGATAGCAAAATAGAAAGGGAAAAAAAAAAAAAAAAAAAAGGTGATTTGTGAGCCGTCAGGAATCATAAATAGGAGCTAAATACCATGGAGTGAGTGGGATCACATGAAGATAAGATATAGAGGAGATGGGAGAATCAGTAACAGAGACCAATATATTCATTGCAGAATATGTAGAAAAGGGAAGTTAGGTTAAAAAAGAATAAAGTAAGAGTTGGATTGAGTTTGGGATGGGCAAGGTCAACAACAGCCAGAAGACGGGAAGATTTCAAACAGAAAAGACTGAGTTGGATAAAAGAGTTTTGAAAGTAATGCATAACACACGTACTGAATTGAAGACTGATTTGGAAATGGAGAGACTTTAGTTAAAATAATGCAGTTTAGTTGTATCTTTTTAGGTCAGGTCTTGAGGGCATTAATACTCCATAATATTTTTATTCTGTGGAGACTTAAAATTTATTTAATGTCTATCTTATTTTAATACACTTTGTCTTGGTGATATCACACCACAATACTGAATGATACTGCTTTTGTTGCAATATGGTGATCGTGTAAAAACAAAAATTGCAGCTTAGCAAAACGCCTTCCACAATTTGTCTGTATCCCTGTCTTGGTGATCCCTTCGGTCATGTTGTAGTTTGAGCTCAGAGGGCTACTGAGAACCACACATCCGCTCACTCTCCCTTTACTCCCCAGCTCTGAGAAGGGAAAAATAAGCCAGGCTTGGGATTAAAGCTAGGACAGGGAGGGACAAATCACCTATTATGGTCACAGGCAAAAGGCAGACTCATTAGGGGAAGAAAAAAAGAACGTAAATTTATTACAGACACTAACAACACTTAACAGAGTAAGGCAGTGAGAAGTGTTACCACATATTGAGAACACCTTCCCCCCACCCCTTCCTTCTTCCCAGGCTCAGTTCTGCTCCCGATATCTGTACCTCCTCCCTGCAGCGGCACAGGGGGCAGGGAATGGGGGGTGCAGTCAGTGCTGCTGCTTTTTCCATTTTTGATCAGGGGAGCTTCTGGAACTTCTTCCCCCTGCTCCACCATGGTTCCCCTCTTACAGGAGACAGTCCTTCACAAACTTTCTCCAACGTGAGTCCCTCCCATGGGCTTCAGCGTTCTCCACTCTGGTCTGATGTGGGACATCAACTTTCTCCAACTGGAGTCCCCTCCACAGGCTGCAGCCCTTCCTGAGCTGCTCCAGTGTGGGACACCCCCGCAAGTTGCAATCCTCCCAGCACCAAACTACAACAGTGGGGGCTACTTCTTCCCACAGGGTCCTGGCCTCCTTCAGGTGCAATCACCTTAGTCAATCATGCAAGGCCCCTTACAGGCCGTAAATCAATGTCTGCTCCACCGTAGATCTTCATGGACAGCAGGGGGGGTTGCCCTGCCGTCTCACCATAGGATACAGGGGGATGTCTGCTCCAGCACACCTCCCTGTGCTTTCCTCCTCCGTTCCTCCACCGACCTTGTTCACGCATCTGCTGCAAGTCCTCCTCACAAGTCCCTTCTTAAATATGTTATCTCAGAGGCAAAGCTGATTGGCTCATCCTTGGTTCAGAGGTAGGTCTGATGTGGAACTGGGGGAGCTTCGAGAAGCTTCTTATAGGGGGCCAGGGCTGTAGTCCACCTCCTCTGCTACCAAAACCCACCACCACTCACTCAAACCCAGGACAAGTCTTCAGGAATGTAATACACCATTGGACACCTTTGAGAGTATAGTTCCAACATAGGATGAACATAATTATTGTCACCAATATATTTTTGAGAAAATCAGACAATAAGAGATACTACAATGAGAGAAAGAAGGCTGTAGAAATGGAGGAATAATTCTGCTTGATAACATGGCCATAACATTCAGTCACAGGTTTGTCATAATTAAAGACTTTTACTATTCAGTCACAGACTGCTCATAGACAACGTTATCAAATATAAAATAAAGGATTGCCTCTGACCAACTACAGAAATAAGTGTTTTCCAGTGTACAAGTTGTGGACACACAACATCAGGAAAATGAGCGTCAAAATGTTTTTAATAATCTTCAGTCTTATTGAAATAGGGTAGGAATGCTTGGTTTTATTATTTTTAATGAAATACAGTGAATATTCTTGTCTTTTTACCAGAGGTAAAGTTCTTTTCATTCTTTCACTAGGAAGTGGCTGTGTAATTTGTTTTCTCCTCATATTTGAGGGGACAACTTCAAAGAAATCTAGCAGGTTTTGGTAAGTCTTTTACCAAACATAAAACTTTTAAATTGTAGAGAGAAAGAAGTAAATTGCCTATAGGTGTGATTTTTTAAAAAAAGTAACATTGCAGAACTAGAAAATCATGTAGTAGTTGAGTCTGGAAGGCACCTCCCAAGGTCTGTAGTCCTAGGCCCTGCAGAGGACACTGGGTCAGCTAGAGCAGGTTGTTTAGGGCTGTGTCCAGTCAAGTTATGAAAATCTCCAGTGATGGAGACTCCACAGCCTCTCTGGGCAACTCGCTCCAGTGTTTGATCACACTCACTATAAAAAAAAAGTGTTTTTTCTTATGTTTAAATGGAATTTTCTGTGCTTCAGTTTGTGCCCGCTGCCTCTTGCCCTGTCAGTGGGCACCGGGCTCTATCCTCTTTACTCAGGTAAACCCATGTATCCATACAGATGGGTAAAATTCCACTGAGTCTTCTCTTCTCCAGGCTGAACACTCCCAGCTCTCCCAGCCTCCCCTCATATGTCGAATACTCCAACCGCTTAATCATTTTCATGGCCCTCCTTCAAACTTGCTCCAGTATGTCCATGCCTCTCGTGTACTGGGGAGCTCTGTTCTTGGATGCAGCACTCCAGGTCTGTATCACCAGTGCTGAGTAGAGGATAAGGATCACCTCCCTCAACTTGCTGGAAATGTTCTTCCTAATGCAGCCCAGGATGATGTTGGTCTTCTTTGCCACAAGGGCACATTGCTGGCTCATGTTCAGCTAGTTGTTTAACAGGACTCCCAGGTCCTTCCATGCAGAGCTACTTTCCAGCCAGTCAGCTCCCAGCCCTTGCTGGTGCTAGAGGTTATTCTTCTGAAGATACAGAACTTGATATTTCCCTTTGCTGAACTTCATGAGGTTCCTTTTGGCTCATTTCTCCAGCCTGCTGAGGTCCCTCTGGATGGTAGCACAACCATCAGTGGATTAACCACTCCTCCTAGTTTTGTATCATCTGCAGAACTGCAAAAAGGAAGAAAGATAGGCATATACAGTAAGCAATAACAATACAGTGAGGTTTTCAAGCAAGAAGACTCCACAGTTTTTAATTATTAGATATCTGTCTGAGAAATGACCCTTATGTTTAAAGAGCTGCGAAAGAAATGCTACACAAGCAAAACAAGCAATGCCGAAGTCATGCTGTTACAAACCGTGTCCCCTTGGGCTAACACCAGAGTGAAATGTATCTTGTATGTTAGCACATAGGCCTTATATAGTGATTTAAGTAATTAAGGAACCATATGGTTACATATCTGTAGCTGTAGGCACTGCCTGAGGTGTTTTAGAAGCTCTAAAAAATATTTGCCTTCTAGAATGCCAGACATAAGATACAGGATAAATGATAATGAGGAAAAAAAAAAAAAAAAGACAAATGCCATGGAGAATATGCCTTCCTAAGGAACTTTGATTGAATGGAGATTTTTCTATCAAGCATTGCAAAATTTTGTATCTGGGCTTATAGAATGGAGAAAAATTTGAAATAGATCTTACTTGAATGAATAAAAAATCTGATTGATAGGATTACTTTGGGAATGATGGGGCTTCTTATCTTTGAAATTAATTGCGTGGTTTACATAGCATAGCAAGCTACACTATGCTGGCAAATGTAATATATTATGAGATAGAAAATAATTACTATATAAGAAACAAAATATTTGTTATATGAGAGATATTCTTAGTAAAATAAAAAAAAAAATTAAAAGACCTATGCAATCAGTTGAATATGCTTTCACCATTTTAAAATACAGTGAATTCTTCTTTACTTTCCATCTCCATATCAGTCCTCAATTTAACAGGTACATTATAAATCATTTTCAAAAGAGCTGAAGTGGAAGTGATCAATCAATTGCATAATTAACAATTTTCATACAGAAGAAATTATTCATATTAACAGTTATATACAAGATACATGTTAGAGGTCTGTACAGATCTGGTAGATTTAATGAAAAACAGACCTGTAAAGCCCTAAGTCTCAGGCACTGATACAGCAACATGTCTAAAAAAAGCGGAAGAACATTCTTTATGGTGCTTGTGCTCACATGTGCATGCACTAGGAATTTGTTTCGTCTGGTGAGTAGTTTACAAAACTGGGAGACATGCATGTCCTTTCTCCCTGTCTCTGCTAGACAATCTCCACTACTTATCTTTTTGTATATGATTGCTGCATGAATGTGAATATGAATCAAGCCACTTAACCCTCTTGTCAGAGCTGGAGCAGTATGCTCAGTAATAATTGCTTCTGCCCTAAAATCAAAAGCTCTCCAGATCTCCACAATTCGAATTCTCTAATTTGTCTTGATACCCAGCCAAATGAGCACAAATAATAAAATTTAAGAGGGGTTTGGAGAGTTAGGCTAGCATTGAAAGATTGAATGTAAAAAAGGGAAATTGCTATTTGAAGGTTTTATTACTCTGGATTCTGACTGTGGAAGAGACACTGTAAATTTGGATAGCCCTTGA